ATTTTAGGTTTAGGTTTTCGACCACAATTAGATATAGAAAAAAATCTTATTTTAATTGATAAAAGTGCTCCAAGAAATAGATTAGATCCTTATGTTAAAAGTCTTAATGAATATCTTAGAATTTGTAAGTAAAATTTTTATTTAATTGAGAACAATTTTATCTTTTGTCTTTTTTTTTTTTAGATTATTGGAAACAAGATAATAATAATGGATTTAATCAAACAAAGAAATTTAAAATTTCTAATCCAGGTGATTGTATACTTCAAAATCAATATGGATTTTCTAATGGAAAACCATGTATACTTGTTAAAATGAATAAAGTAAAGAAAAAAAAATATATATATAAGAAAATAAATAAAATCATATTTAATTATAGATTGTTAGTTTTATACCAAAACCAGGTTATTTATTAGAAGATGAACATGCATTTAAATCAGCTGGATGTCGATCTAATTCTAATGCTATTAATATTCATTGTTATGGAGAAGTAATTTATTATTTAGTTTCTATAGAAAAAGAAAATCATGTTTTTGTTTTCTTTTATTTAGTATCCGACTGATGCTGATAATATTAAGAATATAACTTATGTATCAGAGAATGGTCATGATAATAATTGTGGTTCACTTGAAACTAAATGGTTTCCTTATGAGTAGGAATAATTTTTTTTTTTGTCATGGTTGGATAGAGCTTATCAAGTTATCTTGGTTTGACAAGATCCGAACAATGTTTTTGTAGAAAAAAGTCTATAGAAATTGAGAGACACCAAAAGTATCAAGTCTCAGTATTCATTCGAATATTTTTGGATTTGTCATCTGGTTAGAAAAAAAAACAAAATGTTAACCGTTAACTCGACAAGCTCTATCGAACTATGTCAAAACAACACTTTATAAAAGAAAATATTTTTTTAGGGGTAAAAAAGAACGTGAAGATGTATATCAAGCACCATATATATGGGTTCAATTTAATGAAGTTAAACCAAATGTATTAATCAATGTTATGTGTCGAATATTTGGTGAAAATATTAATTTTGATAGAAAAGCATCTCGAGCTCTAACACGTTTTCAAATATATATAAAAGATATACCAAAACGTATACCATCAAGTAAAATAGGTGAAATATGAATCAATTTCTTTTCTTATTGTGCAATAATCTCAATGCAATTTTCTTTCATGTTTATCTTTTTCTGTAATTTTTTCATATTGTATTTACATATAAATAGTATCAACTTAAGATAATTAATAAACTTTTTTTTTTAAATAGAACTGATATGTATTTTCGAAGAAAATAATGAATATAAAATTCTCAGTCGATATTTTGCCTTTTTCTCCTGTTTCAATGACGAGAATCAATTTTTGAAGTCTTTCTCAAAATACGTTTGTAAATGATGTTCTAAATAGTGCAATTTTTGATTTTTATGCAGATAAAAATTTACATTTAAGGAGTTAAGGACGACAGGAAGGGATGTATTGATTTGCTACAGTTGTCATATGGCCAACATACAAAAATTTCTATTCGAAATGCAGAAATAAATAAGACTAATTGTTTCTCTGGGAATCAATTATGTTGAAAAACAATTACATAGGATACTCCAAAAGTTTTTTCACCCACTCTTCAGACTAATAATCAAAGATTGGTTCTGGTGTGTTTTTTTCAAAGTACTGTTCTTTAGCTTTAGCTCACTTGTGCATCTGAATAAAGCAGTCATCGAAGCAATTTTTGGAAATCGTCTTTTGTCAGTGTTAATGATTCGTTATAAGACGTTCAATATTGCAATTTCATCGTCGAATTGAATTCTATGTAGTTGATTTTTTGAGTTCCAAAAACAGGAAGAAATCATACCACCAGTTTCTAATGATATAGATTTAGTTAGTCCAGATTTCATGAAGAAAATCAGTATCATTTATTTGTCTGAACTTACGTTTCGATAAACTTTATGTTGAAATTTAGTTGTCATACATTAATTATTCCAAAGTTATCAGAGACTTGAATTGATCTACCAATAGAATAGCTTTGATTATGATATTGATATATTTTATCGAAAATTTAAAGAATAGAATATTAAAACACTATGTAAATCGTTTTAACTTCTCGAAATCTATTGAAGTTTATTTTTTTATTCGTAATTTCGAGATATCCTTTATAAATACTATCATATGTTTGTCTTCAGATAATGTTTTGGACTATTGCACCTCAGTGTTATAAAATGAAAATGATTAAGTGATAGATAATGAAATGTAGCAAATTTTATAAGTCAAATTTAGTGAGAAACATTTACCGTGAATATTAATCTTCACTTATTAAAGAGATAATATTCCTCGTAAAAGAAATACTTGGACATAGCATATAATGTCGAATAAACTTTAGAATAAATATAAATCATTAATAATGAATCAAGAGAAAACTGATACAATACTTAAACAGTATCAAAAAAGTCTCGAAAACTTCGAATACAATGCTAAATCGCCTTTTTTTTTTAAATCTATGCTATGGCCAAAATAGTACTTAACAGTTTTACATGGATTGAAGAACGTCAATATTTGACGTGCGAAAAATGTATTTATCCTATCTATATGTCTAAACTATTGTGTTCTTGATTTAAATAAGTATTAATCTGAAGAACATCTAGTGAACCTTAGTGCAAATTCGATTGTATATAAATCTTGTGCGAAACAATAAGAAAATGATGAATTCTATCAATATGATTAATAAAAATCACAAAGCTATTGTAACTATCTTTTTTAATGAACTTTCATGAATCTGAAAAAATAAACATTAGAAATCATTTAATTTGACAAATAAATTTTCGTCAATATATTTTTGTAAAATTAAATATATTGTCATATTAGTAAACAAAAAGACTATTCATGACATCATTTAGTAAATGGATATTTTCCAATAAATATGTATTCGTTGGAATTCTTACACTTTCCAAGAAAAATGTGTAGGTGAATAATACGTCACAGAATGACAATTTTACGATAGAAAACAGAACGACAAAGTTTTTTTTGTAAATAAAAAGTCAAAGTTCTTTATATTTTGCTTTATTTTTCAACAAAGACTTGAATTGAAAGGTGTCACGTTGTACAAAGAAAGGGTAAGAAAAGAAAATAAATTCTTGTTATTCTTATCATTTTATTTTAAAGATAGTTAATATTAACTGGATTATTACATACATAGAATTATTCTAACATTAGTTATTGCAAAGAATTTCACAAAAATAAAATCATCGTCTAAGGAGTGACCCGCGTGTATCTATGGCAAATCAAAAAAAAATTATCCTTACTTGGCTCCATGCAAATATAAACAATGAAGAAAATAAAAGAACCTTCGATACACTATGTGAAAAGTTTGGCGATTACATGTCATTTTCAAAACAATCTGATTTTAACAGATTTCTTGGACGTACCAGCCACAATCAAAGATGACTTATTCTCATTATTAGTGGACAAATAGGTGAAAATCTAGTGCCTGATATATACAAAGAGTCAAATATTTTATCGGTTTATGTTTATTGTTCATGGAAAGAAAAACATGAAAAATGGTCTGAAGGATATTCGAAAGTAAGATATCATTTAGAATATTTGTTTTTTTCTTATATTCATATTGTTAATAGAGGTCAAGGTTGTTACTAAAGTAGATGATCTTATTTCTAAATTTGAATTAGATTATAATTCTTATGACAATTAATCGAAATTTTGTTATCCAACGACAAACATATATTGAATGGTCATTGCGTTCAAATGCCAATGTATTTTAGACTTGTAATAAAAAAAAATAAAGTTTCAGGAACATTAACAAAATTCAATTTATAGTCAGATATATCTAATAAACAAGAATTATTTAAATTATCTCAATAAAAATTTCTTATAATTAATAGAAATTTAAATAAATATTTTGATACATAAAACATTATTATTATTATTTAATAACATTCATAGAACGAATTTGAAAAATAATAGAATATCCTATGTTTTCTTCAACAAGAAATATTAGAAAATGGAAAGATTTTGTACTATAAAATATATTCATGATTAATATTTATTTTAAAGGAAATAATTAAGATATATAATTGAATTTCTATTGTTCATTACTTTTATTCAACAAATTGGTTTCTTGCAATAAATTTCTTTTTATAGAATTCTAACTTAAGAAATCAAAAAAAAGAAGCCAAACACTACTGCTACCAATCAGGCTTCCAATAATAAAACAAACTTATAGAAAATAATTATTTAATTAATTCTATAAATAATGAAGTAAATATATTATCATAAGACTTTCTATCCAAAGGTCAAATAAACAAAGTGAATTTAATGGATTTTTATTCGTAAAGAAACCCTAATCTATGTCATTGAAATAATTTTATCAAAAGACTCATGATAAAGAATCAATCATAATAAAATTATTTAAATTAAATCACATCTTATACATTAATTCAAAGTTACATTGTGTTTCTATGTATATTTGCAACATTATTGAGATTCTTTATACTCATTGAAGAAATAAATAAAGAACAATATATAACTTGAGACGGTAAGATAAATTTAATAGACTCCGTTATTGTTAGTGATTCTAGTTTGTAGAAGTAAATATCGGATTGTTGAAAGCATTTTCTAGCGTTAACATCATATGTTAAATGATGTACAGCGGCGAATGACTGTTGGTTCTTCTCTTGAGAACAAGTGAATTTGCCAATATTTGAATCACTTATGTAAAAACCATAGATGTTCATCGCAACTGAGAATCTACCGCTGCCACGTCGCGATGATAGTCAAAAAAAAAAAGCTACTGCAACGCGATGAACTGTAAAAAAAAGTTGTCGTTACCGAGACGCGACGCACTATTAAAAAGACTTGCCGCTGCCGCGATGGTATTCAAAAAAATGTTTCGATTTTCAAGGCCATAGCTGATGTGAACTAGAACTGATGCTGCTAATCGACCAGATTTGCTAAATCTTATAGTATCACATATACGAACACTGAGATTTTGTGCAAATTCATGCATTTTTGAAATTTCTTCCTAAAAAAGCTGTCGCTGACGGCCGCTGCGGTGACAGCATCATAAAAATCTCTCTCGAGCCGTTGCCGTGGCGCGATAGTTTTTGAACAAATCTGCCACTGCCGCGACGACACCATCACGGTGACAGCGGCGCGGCAGCGTAAGCGTCGCCATGGACATCTCTGGTAAAAACGGTCAAAAATATACGGTAAAGTGTAAAAAGTAACGCTTGTGTCCGTTAGTTTCCAATCACATCGAACAAACCGACGATACTGAACAAGCCAAAATGGAGTTCGAAATGTATTGAGTAATTTATCAACCTGTTCTTCGATTATTTCATTCTCTTCAAAGTAATATTCCATTTTAAGATGGAATTTCTTTAGTTTAGGCAAATGATTAGAAATGAAGTTTTCCCATTCATATCTACTGATGTTACTGTCCTAGTCCATTTTCAATCGACACAGACTGAACATCCGTTGTAAAATGTTAGGTAAAGTGAATTCACCACAATTTATTGACAGTTCAAAAGAAGTTATTGATAGAGCAGATGAATTTGGTAATTCTCCAGAAGAGAGCTGGTAAACGAATGTTAAGAAGTGTTTAAGATTTGGAGCATTTTCACATATGCAAGTCAGATTCAAAGAATAAGTTACAGAATCCAAAATAGACAGATGTATAATACTTGATGATACCATGGTTATCTCTATGAAGTTGTCATAATCCGGCATATACGTACAAATCTCGTCAATACAACAATGAGTGAGCTTCAGTAGATTCCGTATACAGTTTGTGCAAGGAAGCGTATTAAATCGACCTTCCCACACATCTCGTGACAAACGGTAAGATTTGAAAGTTAAATGAGTGAGATTGATTAAGTGAGGTAATGTCAACATGATTCTTCCGATTATCTCTACTATCAAAAAATAACTTAATGAAAGTAATTTCAATTGAACAAATTGATCAAGTATGAAATCATGAGCATATAATTCATCAAGTGCATGCGAAGAACCATTCTCCTCTGATAAATACAATGAAGGCAGTTTATTGATCGAAGTTGGAAGGTATTCTTGATAGATTGTAACAAAATCATTGGAGTACATTGATCGAAAATCGATACTGTGTTCAGCAAAATAACGAAAAAGCAGAAAATCAAATTGAGAATTGAGACCAGGAAATGCATGAATAAGGTGATTGATAAGGAGAAATTCGAATAGATGAAGTAATAATTCGTTTAGCTATGATTCAAAATTCATTTTTCATATATCTCTTTAGTATTCGTCAAAGGAAAACGAATCACTAATGACGGCTATATAGCAAATATTTGAAAGGAAACATTCGACTAGGTAGTACCTATAAAACTCGTTTTAATATTTCTGTTGGTAAGATTTATTTTATTCTCTGTCGCAGGAATATAATACATTTTTCTTATTGTTTTTTATTTGTGATACTTTTACTTTTATTTGAAATAAAACAAATGAATTTATTTTATGAACGTGAACAAAATATTCGTAATTGCGATGCATGAAAAAGTTTTTAAAAAAACCTCGTGTACCATCAAAAAAAAGGGTGAAAACAAGAATGAAATATTTGGTGACATGTAGAAAGTTTGGGCACAATTTATTCGTTCTTTTCAAGGACAAAATGTTAAAAGTACCTGCTACCTATTGTAAAAGGTTCTGTCATTAGCCATTATTATATTTTACTCCCCATCATTACTAAAGGAAAAACTTTCTCAGTGATGAGTCACTAAAAACAAAAAAAAGCCTTTTCCCAAAACTATATTAGTGTTAAGTTGTTTCTTATCTTAGGCTAATATAGGATAAATTCCATTATTTTAATTTTTTCATTGTCCAATTTTTATCTAGAGACGTCGATAGTGAAAAGTGCATCTGCTATTGATAGATCGAACAAACAAAAAAAATAGGCAGATTATCTCAATCTACTTCTCTCGACTAGCGACATTTTTCCGATCAACTCATCTGATTGGTTATTAATACCTTCTCGAATTGAACCGATATGCCTTTGTTTCTTCCATTCAATATAAGACGAAGACGATTGTATTCTTTTTTTTTTCTTATCTGTTTGTATAATCAGCTTATTAACAACTTCTCTGTGAATATAAACACAGAATGTCTTCGTCGTCAACTGATGGATTTTCTCAATTTACATTCCATTTCCGACGTTTAAATCTTGATTCATTATTCTCGATCGATGATCGAAATCGAATGCTGAATTGGATCGATCGAGCTCGATGTCTTCTGATCGAAATTCTTCGTAGTGAACACGTACAAATACTCTATATGTGGTTTAACATTTATAATGATATTTATGATCAACTGACCTCGTCAATGACTACGTCAATGTGTTTAGAGCTACTACGTGCTCCACCGACCAAGCACCAGAATACAGATGCTTGCACGACATTAACCAATCTGATCTCGTCGTTTGAGATCAGCATACCACATCCAACGTCGTTGAAATCTCCATCTAATTCTCAATTTCGTGTTCCTGGTTTAGCAGAGAAAGTTTTCGACTTCAGTCGAGACTGTGCAGCAGCAAAGTTGATCAATAACACGTCAACCATATTATTAAATCATCAAATTTTTGATGTGAATCGACAAAAGCAAGGTAAAAGAGCTGCATTGTTTTTTTTTTCTAAAGGGATTGTTCATAGAACAGCGACAAAAAAAAACTTATAGTCTGTTATCTATCGAACAACTTATTCCTGTTTTTGATATAACTCTGCAACACAATGTCGTAAAGACTTGATTTATTCTTCGTTAAAAAGAGTAAAGTGTCTAGTGCAAAAATGTGTGAAAGAGTTCGATTGGAAATGGTTTTTTGAAGGTCAAACAAGTCTTAAAATAAAAGACCCCAAAAAAGTCTTCCGCAGCTTTGATCATATTTTTTTAGTCCAAAAATATTTGTTTGATCTTTTTCGTAACTTACTTTTGACTATTTCGAGCATCATGCATATACAGTTGATCATTAAAACGAAGCCTTTCATATAGTATTAAAATAATTGATGTAGCCTACACGAGAATGAACAAAAGACAATCTGTTTAAAAAATGTTAATTTATCGAAGCTGGCTTTTCAAAGGAAAAAAAAACAAATTTTTCTCTGCATATCTCACAGAGTTCTGCGTGTGTCATTCCAAATAATATCGTTTGGCTGAGGACTCAATAAGCTCTCTTTTTCATATAAAATATACAGTTTCTGGTAACATCTCTTGAAAAATAGTTTATTTTCTGTACTAGTATCGAAAGTGACGAAACATCGACAACTTAGACGATGGCACAAAAGCGTTCATTTCGACTCTTATAAAACATAGAAAATTTCTTTTTTCTTTCACAGCAATACTGCTCGATCCTCACATAATAAAATCTAGATTAGATAAATAAAAAGATAACCTGTCGAATTATAGAAAATTTTTTCTAAATTAAAAAAAGTTGCGAAAAAGCTTTTCGGGATCTTTTATTCTAAGACTTGTTTGACCTTCAAAAAACCATTTCCAATCGAACTCTTTCATACATTTTTGCACTAGACACTTTACTCTTTTTAACAAAAAAAAAATCAAGTCTCTACGACATTGCGTTGCAGAGTTATATCAAAAACAAAATTAATGCAAAACTTTTGTATCATTTATTAGATAACACGGATGTGATTTTTGAATCTACTGGAATCTTGTTTATCGCCATTGTACTGGCGCATGAAATTACTCATGCCATTAATTTATCTCGATCCATCAACAACGTCAATGTTATTCAAAAGACTACACCAAAATTAATACTTTTTCGTTCGTATTCGCACGATGGGAATGTAGATGGTGGTGATCTTGTTGAACGTTTATTATTAGATGGTGAATTACATTTAAGTAAACCACCACCAACTCCTCCAATATTATTTTTGATCGTGTCTGCCGATGGCACACAAGTGCCATTACCAAAAGAAGTTGTTGAAGAATGTATAAAAAAGCGTAGTTTTGTGCCAATCAGTCAATTAGTTAATTCCTGGCAATATAATAATGGGCAAAAATTGACGAGCAGTGGCTCTAGAAAAGAGTCAACTGAAAAATTACCGGTCTTAGAACCGTTACTCACCTTTCAAATATTAACATCTGATTCTGCTCCTGCTCCACCATCGTCGCCCACTATTCCTACGTTGACATCGATGTTGCATGCTCAATGAACATGGTTTTTTGTCGGTGATTTTTTTCTGTCTTTGTCTTTATTATTTGCCTTGCTCTTATTCTGGTTTTTTGTCTTTTTGTTTTTCTTTTTTTTTGTCGGTGATTTTTTTCTGTCTTTGTCTTTGTTGTTTGCCTTTCTCTTTTTCTGTTTTTTTGTCTTTCTTTTTTTTTGTCTTTTTCTTCGTTGTTTGTCTTTTTTTGTGTATCTCACATTTTGGAAAATAAATAAAAATAATTGAAAACTGAGCAGTTCTTATCGTCCAGAAATAATGTTATTGTGATCTCTTCCGCAGAGAATAGATCTGTCAACTAGAATTACAGATCTTCGAACTTGAAAACGAACGGATAATATTTGTTTCTGACGAAGAATAGAAACATTGAATTTTTGAACATAGACCAAAGATTGTCGGAAAAAGGGAAGATTCGCAAGGCAAGACATGTTCATGCATCTGATTATCGGTCGGAAAATATTTTCCGATAGAGAAGCATTATTTTTCCTTAGAAATCCTTTTCTAAGCGAACTTTCCAATGCATCGGATCATTTTCGTTAGTTATGATTCTAAAAGAGAAAACTTTTAATGGAAATGAAATTCAAAGACAGAAAAATCATTGTTGATCAGATCACTTTTATCGAATCACCGTGAAGATTTGAATCAGTTGTTGCATTTAATCTATTTTCTTGATGGGTTTTATCGTCGTTTTCATTCGAACACATCATCGTCAACGTAATTAGTACTCAAGATCTGTATCTCAGCACAATAGTCACCGTGCCTTATGAAAAATCTTATTCAAGTGCCTATCGTATGAAATTCAACAATCGATGGATTACAGTATGTCGTTAAAAAAATGATTTCTAAATGATATTATAACTCTAATTTACCGAATCTTGAAACGTAACTCATACGTTATCTAAAAATGATGTCTGGTATTCGTGAGAAATCGAATATACTATCTGTTAATTGTTCTCATGAAGAATTCATAGAAAAATCTTTTTTTTTTCTTTTTGGTTTAAAAGATTCTTGATTGAACTTCGAGGTCGGAAAGAATCTTGAATGTTCATTTAAAGAAGTAAGAATTTGAGAAGAATGAAATCAAAAACGTCAATTAGTGATAGATTAAATTGAATTGATTATCAGTCATATCTGAATATTCGATTGATCAGATTGGTGATAATGATTTTCTTTGATAAGAAGTTTTTTTTCAAAAACTCTAATCAATGATTTGTTAATAAAAAAGAATTTCAAATATAAATGAAAGAAAATAATAATCAATAAAAATGAATCGATGTTTTAATGGAAAAGGAAGATGAAATAATCGATTTAAGATTGTACATGAGAATTTCGACATTCAAGTAAAATCTCATATTGAAATAATTGTTTACTATTAGGAGATAAATCTTGACAAATGAGAAGACCTTCTGGAATCGATTAAATTAGTTGATTCAATCGTTCGTTATCATTTTTTGGAGTAATTGTAAATTTAATTGAAGAAATGACTTTTTTTATATTCATACTTAATTGATTTTTGTTTTTCCATTTTTTATAGTTAAACGAATTTAATAACAGGAAGAATCGCATTGTTGTGATTCGAGTGTAACTTGATGTTAATAACTAACATTAAGATCATTTTCACAGTCTAAATCTTGGTTTTCCTCTTGAGAAAGATTATTTAAATGAATTTGTTCAACAACACATCCATCTTCTCTAACAGTAAGATTTCCTTTAGATAAAAATCGATCCAATTCATTTCGATATTTTCTTTGAAGTTTTTCTTCTTGTGTTTGTTCATGAAAATAGATTTGTAATCCAGAATATTTTTCTAGTTTAATATTTGCTTGTACAAATGAGAGTGAAAATGTTGAATATTGTGAAAGAAGAAATGCTTGATCAATTGAATACCAATAAAGTCCAGCTAATTCTCCTTCAACTTGAATTGTTGATGCTACGTCACAATAACTATCACATCCACAAGCTGATTTTATACAACAACAAGATCGAGCCATCATAGGACAATGATGATTTGATAATTGTTGAAGATGAACATCACCATCAAATAATTCTGTACGTTTTATTTGATAGTCTCGTTTTGTACTATTTTGCATATCAACCCAAACTTCAAATTGATAAGCTTCATTTTCTACTTTTCAATTATAACGAGGTGACCAACTTATACCTTCAAACAAATGAATTTCTTTTAATTAAAAAGAAAAAGATTGTTTTTTGCCTTGAATTAGATATGAAAGTGTAACTTGTCCTTGTTCTTTTAAAAGAAAAGTTACTTCAGTCCCTTCTTCTTCAAGCATATGAACATATTCAATTTGACCATGTTGACCACGAATATATTGACCTGTTTGAATATCTATTAATAACAAATGATTTGATCGAATAACTTGACATTCAATTGATATTTCTTGTGAACGACGAAGATAACCTGTTTGATTTTCAGGTGTGATGTACGGTGGGGTGTGAGTGAGTGTAGGAGTGAATGTGGATGTGGGTATAGATTAGGGAAAGGAAGAGTCATACCCACACCCACACCCACACCGCCAAGCAACTACTTTCATAGTAGTGTTAGGATCTCTTTTTGTATTTGATGTGACTGCAAGAGGAAGATCTTCAATACTCTTTGTTTCCGGTAATAATGATCTGAGTATTTTTCCAAATGTTTCTGCCATCAGTTTGAGTATTCGTAATTTATGAGAACACCACAAACACCCAACTTTGTAAAATCGTATATAAGTCACCTTTACGAACACCCACATCTTGAAGAGCTATGTACACAAACATCCACGAACACCCACTTTCTACGAGTTATAAGAAAAAAAAAAGTCAACAAACACTAAAAAATGACCCCCCCCCCCCTCAACACTAACACCCAGAATCTCTCTTATATTCCATACAATCAAATTATTCGTGATTTAGATCTTGAATCATGTGCTAATACTCTTACTGGAACTGATTTTGTAAGAGGTGTATCAGGTGGAGAGAAAAAGAGAACAAGTATCGGAATGGAATTAGTTCTTTCACCTAATCTTCTTTTCTTAGATGAACCAACTACAGGTAAATGATTCGATTTATTTCATACTTCGATTTTTGTATTATTTTTAAATAGGACTTGATGCATGAATATGTCCTAAATGAAAAAACAAAACAGTTATTTTAGTCAATTTATACACTAAACTCTTAATATTGTCTCACAATAATGTCGTTCAATCATCGTTGGTAGAAAATCTTGATTAATCTAATACAGAAAGAAAAATAATCAGAATCTTATAATATCTTCAACTCCACTCTTACAGAATAATGTTATATAATATTAACATTAAATGTTCGTTTAATATCTTCAGAAGTAAGGTCAAGGATATTATTACATGTTACTACATCTGTGTTATCAAGAATCAATGTTTAAAATATCATTATTCATTTATCAATATAGAAATCTATTCGCATTTTGTACAACAATTGATACATTTCCAATATCATGACTTACAGCTGATGAGAGTCAATCAGTGACTCAAAGTCAGTTGTTTCAATTGAATGAAATTTCAACAATTCTAGCGTTTTTTGTTCTTATTTATAATATTATAACGAGATTTATTATATCGAGTGATATATAGAGAATGATAAAATTTCGAAGGAAAAAAAAATTTATAATGGATTCTAATAACTAATAATCAAATTCTAGTAGTATGTTGGAATGATAGTGATCATAGACTCTGATTAATAATACTCATTTTGAACTAAATCAGCTTTAATATATCGATTCAATGATTTAGTAATGAAATTTATTTTCTTTTGAATGATATATTACATGATGAAAGAATACTATCAAAAATTCATCTTGGGGAATATCTATCAGTGTACAACTCGGACCAGATCACGAAAAAATTTTTAAAACTCGGATCGGGTCATAAAAAATTGACCGATTTCAATTCAGAGAGATACGACCATAATTGGGATACTAACAGATTCAAACTATAGGACGATTGCTTAAAAGAAAAGGACGAAGCTGTCAACATGAAATATGTTTCACTATCTATATTTCTCCATTGAATTTTATTTTAGAATTGTTTCTTTTTGATTCTAAGATATTTCGGACAATTTTCTTAAAGAACTCAAGATGTTGAACAATTTAGACTTCTTTTTGAGAGTGTCGCAAAAAAAATCTCACAATGCTACGAATCATTCACAAGTGTAACTCAACAAAAAATAGATACTAAAGTGAAATGAACTCTTATTCATTTAAAATTTTATCAAATTAATAATCGTTTAAGATATTCTTCGACTAAATTTAGAATACAGATATAAATGTCTTCGGACGTGATAAAGCAAAAACATGCCGAAAAAACGTGTTTTCGAGTGAATAAAACTACATTTGTCTTATTTCATCACGTTTCCAAAAATGGTTACTCTTAGAATTGAAGTGAAATCAACAGTTTAAATGTGACAACATTGGCAAACAAAAAGCAACAATTGTTTATTAATAAATACTATATTTTATTTAGTTTCTAGAATCTGATACATTGATAGTTTTTGATTTCGATCTTTTTTTATTTCAAATATTCCTTAGAACAACGATTGAAGATGAAGTTGTAAATACTCTTTCAATATTCATTATATTTTTTTTTATTTCTAATATTATTTGTTAAATTTCTATGAAAAATAAGAAATCGATAAAAGTTATTTCTTCGGTTAATAGTCTAATTTGTTTCATACTCATCTAAGAACATAAAGAAAGATATTAAAAAAGTTTTTATTTACTACTAAATATAGGTTCTAATAGTTTCTATTTAGTATAATATTCAGTTAAAATATACGAACAATTAGTAGATTTTTTAACAATATCTTCATTTCACTAAACGAATATTGAACACATAAATATCATATATGAAAAAAAAAACGTGATTATTGGTGTTTAAAACAGAGACAATTCTATGAAATGAGAAGTCAATTGAGATGATATACGTCTAAATAGTGTCGTATAATAAATTGACTTAGTTCTTATCAGTAATTTAATGATTGACGAAACGTCATGATTCATCTATGAGTTGTGATGAGTTCAGACAGCGTCTTCGAACATAGCGAAATGATATATTTCATTATTATACTCAAGAAGAGAAAGAAAAACAATCATTATGGTGCTGACGCTCATTTTTTCTGTTCTTTCGAATAAACTCGAATATCACTCTCTATAAGCAAATTTGACTGTCATTAAAGGTCACCATATTCACCATTTAACATTGCCATTGCTGCCTATATCCAACATGATAAAAAATAGATATCATTATAGTGTGTTATCAAATACAATCAAACAAACATGAATTATTCAACTGTTAATATACTTGATCTATCTGACGAGATGGTGCTGACTATTTTGAACAAACTCAATAATATTGATGTATTATATTCATTCATAGGAGTCAATCGAAAACTCGATAGATTGGCACGGGACATTACTTTCACACAATCTATTGATTTAGCAACAATATCATCAAATGAGCATGATGACTCTAGAAACGAGTCAAGACTCGATCGATTTTGTTTTGATATAATACCTCGAATTCAAGACAATATTGAATGTCTTACTCTTGATCCATTGTCAACTGATCGTGTTCTTTCCATTGGAAGTTATTCTAAACTTCATAAACTAACACTTGTTAATTTTCAACTTGAAATGGCATCCCGTATATTCAATGGTATGTCATCTTTTCACTTATTCTTTAAGATAAAGTAAACTAAGTCGATTAATAAATTTATTGTATATATTTAGATGGATCATCATTTAATATTTTCAAACATAAAATTTCACATCTTACTATTACAATAAATGATGGCAGCACAGCTCAATATATACGGAAATCATCCACAAATGTTCTCACCAATATTTTGACAATGTTTACAAATTTAACTTATCTTCATTTCTGTTTAAAAGACATTTGTCACTATCCACCAACTTCATTTATTGATTTAGTATCTACAACATGTTATCCATCAAATATTATTCATTTGAATGTTAGAGTGCGCAATTTTAACGATTGTCTTTGTTTACTTGATGGACGCCTTTATCAATTACAGACATTTATTGTCGAAGTTGATAAGATTAATACAACATCAATGACTATCAATCATTCGGTAAAATATTTTAAATTACAGTGAAATAGTTCTTTCCTATCGACTTTTGATAGAACGATAAAGCATTGGTATGATGAGAAATAAATTAGTAAAAAATATGAATAAATTTAAAAACACGAAGTTTATTTAGCAATATTACTTTATACCAAATATCATTAAACGATAATATATGATTTAGCAAAAGAATGAGAACGATAGTATCAAATGATCTATTATTGATTTTGTCTTTTAGAAACTTTTTTTGATTTAATGTGAACCCGGTAGCTAGAAATTTTTTCGAATATGAGTTTAATAAAGAAAGCAAAAAATAAATATATTAGAAGAACATATTATACAAACAGAAATATTTTATGAAATTTTTTGTAGAGTATATAAGTCTAATATTATTGATCGTCGTCTACAATTAGTTTCAAAGAGTTTGTTAACATATAGATTAAATAGTTTTCTAAAGAATAATAATTTGATTGAGGTTAATATGACACTATTATCTTGATTTTCTTTCTCTTTTCTCGAGTTCTAAAATTGTTTTCGATGAAAAAAAACGCTATGCCATTGTCAATGGTATTAAAGACTTGGCCGTCTATCACTGTTATAGATATTGCAAAAATTTATCAAATCAAGAAGTCAAGCATTGAATAATAAGAAAATATTTCTCTAATAATTCATACTGAAAGTTTAATATTTTGATAAATCATTTTTGGATAATTAGAATCTATTTCTAGTTTCACCAGTTTTATATGAAAATATAAAGAATAACATTTATTAAATGAGTTGATCTTGTTATGCACAGTTATCTATCAATATATTTGATCAAATATTAATTTGGTAATTGATGGATAAAAGAGAATATGAGTGAATCCGTGGGGTTTCTACCACTTTTGAGAAGAAGGGTATTCTGCGTCAATGTTCTCAAAGAAAGTTTTTCGATTTTAATAGTCTAGCTAGACTAAATTTCGTCGAAAACGATCTGAGATAACAATTAAAACCTATTTTGACATATAAAGTGTGGAGACTCACATCATTTTTTAGGAACACTCTACACATAAAGAGTATTCCATGATAACTGGTGATAAATTGTTAATCATATTTTTTATTGACATATGGAGCTGAAATTTTTATCATACATATATCTAATCAAAATCTTTTATTTCTGAAAGTTTCAGCTCTCTAGCGAAAACTAGTGATGAAATACATCAATTTTCGTACTGATTTCTGCAATAGTTTCATTGTAAAAATATATAAAAATCGAATACGAAAAGTTATGTATTTCAGTCTTGTCGATATATTTCACCACTAGTTTTGGCTAGAGAGCGGAAACTTTCAGTAATAGAAGATCTTGATTAGATATGTGATAAAAATTTCAGCTCTATATGTCAATAAAAAGTATGAAAAATATGATTAACAATTTATTATAGGATACTCTTTATGTGTGCGGAATCTTCCTAAAAAACGACTTGGATCTCCATTAGATCTACACTTGTTTGAATTATCAATTTGATATTTTAATTTTTTTTTTGTAGAGAATCCTATCTAATCTAAAATGTTTCTCGTTGACTTCATATCGTCGAACATGCAACTATGATAATCAAATTGTACCATTGCTTCGTCAAATGTCACAATTAGAAAAACTTACGTTATCTCTTATTGTTCGTGGTCGAATTTCATTCATTGATGGAAATCATCTAGTTAATCATATCCTTAGTAAAATATCATATCTACATACCTTTATCTTCAACATTATCACTGAAATTTTCACACCGCACGAAGAACTTTTGCCAAAACCTGATGATATTGGACGTGCGCTCATCCAAAGAGGATATAATGTAAACTGTTATACTGACTATACTAAATTTAGCATGGGTCAATGTCATATTTACTCACTTCCATTCACTATGGAACGCATTGATACGCATAGTAGGAAATTTCCTGGTGGTTTATTCATGACTGTTCGTCACTTAGTGGTGCATGATTTGTTTCGTCCATTTGAATATGATTTCTTTGTTCGAATCTCTCGAGCTTTTCCATTACTAAATAAATTGGCAATAGTTAATAAAAATGAACAAGAGAAGAAGTTAACACATCAACACGATGAACATGAACAAATATCTTCGATTATTAAGTTTTCTCATCTTATGATACTTGATCTTTCAAGGTGTGATATCGATTATGTGAAACAATTGCTTTTCGACTTCAACACACGTTTACCTTGTCTTAACACATTACATATCAAATATATAGATTTGGAGATCGTAACAGGATATTTTACAAATAATGCTGCTCGTGCTAATTGTTCAAAATTAACGCGTATTATCTTTGATTCACCACCAATGATATATTCAGAAAATTTTCATCTTTATTTTCCTTTGTTGTATTGTAAATAAAATTTCTTCTTTATCCAATTGTAATATTTTGTTTATATAACAATAAAAAAAAGAAAATGAAAATGATCTTGTTATTGCTCATTATTTAATTGTACGTATGGTGTTGATATATGACTTGTTCGAGATGAAAATTATACTAATTTAATGTTAAGTGCTTATCAAGAACATACATATATGATGAAATGTTTTGATAAATTAGAATACAATCTGAATATACGAAATATAGAGCGAAAAATATTTCTCAAAATGTTGTAAATCCATTAATGTGAGCATCATTAGAAGCAAGAGAAGATTTGATTGATTCTTTTGAAAATAATTGTTCATATCAGATTTAGAATAGTTTGAAACAAGAGAGTTACTTACACCATCATATGCAAATAGTGAATCAAAAATTTATAATCTTGATCAAGCAATTGAACATATAACAATAGCATATAGTTGGAGAATAGAAAAAAATCTTCCAATAATTAGTTATTTCGACTCGAAGTCCTATCGTCGAGCAAATCTATGTTCATGATAATCTTTTAGTAGATTGTGTTTTTGCTGCAGTCGCATCCAACCGAGTATATACACAAGCATTTGTGTCTAAACATAATTTGAAAAATTTCTATATAAATAACCCTGATTGAAAGTTTTGTGATGCAATTCTTCGAGATCTTCGCTCGATTGACAAAAAAAAGAATCACTTCGAATATATGGAATTCCATCACAACTAACATTCATTTCAAAATAAAAGCTGTTAGCGCAATCCCTTGCGGGATTAAAAATGTGAAACACGATGGACCTATTGTTACTAATAAAATGGAAATCCTTTTGTTCCATTTTCTTACAACATATTTGTAGCTGACCGTATATCTGATGCTTTATAACTACAATTTCTGTGTCACGGTCTGTGATGGGTACTCGGGTTCTCTGTCAGGGTCTGTGGTGGGTACCCAGGGTTCTCTGTCAGGGTGTGTGATGGGTACCCGGATTCTCTGTCACGGTCTGTGATGGGTCCGGAGGTTCTCTGTCACGGTCTGTGATGGTTCCGGAGGTTCTCTGTCACGGTCTGTGGGGGGGAGGGGGTGCAAAATTTCTACCCTATACACTTCAACACTCCTTTCAGATCGTGTTTCACAGAAGGTGGATGATTATTTTTCGAATAAATCTTCAACAGAAAGAGTTATCGACCAATGGTTTTCACCATTAGAAAGGCTGATATTCTGCATTTTTCTATATACTAGCTAACAAAACTGGCTCATGATTCTGATGAGCAGTTAGTGAAATTTAAAGAAACAATTAAAGTACTTTGAAACATGTATCTTTCATAAGGCACCATCATTGAGTCATATGAAACCGATCATTTTATTTGGTATTCGAGAATGTTTTGTTGAAGTAGTATAAATAGAAGATACTTTTGTCGTATAAATAATACACAGCAGTTCGATAAGATCATATTAAAGAAGAGGCGATAACAACAATTGTTGTTACAAATCAACTTTATACGATATTATCACTCGTTTTACATACTTTGAAATTTTTTTCTGGATTATTATGGCATCTAGTAGCATATACCTTGGTAAATTTTTAGTTGTTTTTTCTCACGTGTTTTTTTTTAATTTCAAAATAAACTAGTTGCATCTTTTAAATGAGGTCCACGTGCAACAATTATGACCATTAATAACTTTCAAAATATAATTAATTTTGGCAATACAATTTCATTTTTTATGAAAAAAATAAGTCCGCCCTCAAAGGGTTAAGCGACTAAGTGGTTGGTCATAGAGAAAATACGATCTACCAACGACGAAATGACTGCAAATCGTATTTTTGATCTAAAATATAGAGTTTAGGATCAGATGAAGTTTTCTTTGATATATATGAATAGTACAAGTGTAGACGTTTATAATACAAAAAAAATTTAAATATAAATATACAAAGTGTTCACATTCTTTCTGAGTCTTTTTAATGCATGGTTGAATAACATTTAACGATAAGCTGTTGCAATCTTCATCAACCACATTCTCTAGTTTACATTGTAACTTTGCATTTTTGTTTTTAATTTTCTATTTGATAGTGTTTCAGACAAGTTCAATAGCATTAAAATTAGGACTATTATCTGTCTATTGACATAGTACAATAGTATATTATAAGCTAGAGAATGCGGTCGACGAAGATTGCAACAGCTTATCATTAAACGTTATTCAAGCATGTATTAAAAAGATTCAGGAAGAATATGAACACTTTGTATCTTCATATTTAAATTTTTTTTGCATTATAAACGTCTACACTTGTACTATACATATATATCAAAGAAAACTTCTTCTGACTGTAAACTCTATATTCTAGATTAAAAATACGATTTGCAGTCATTTCGTCGTTGATAGTATTATATTTTGATTTTTTATGTGAGAAAAACTAATTTTAGTTAGTCGAAAAATCAATCAGTACAATATCTCGAATTTTCAAACATGGAACATTGTTTTTTTCGAATAAGTTGGTGATCCGGTGCTCAAAAGATTTTAATTGTGCATTTTAGTTTTCGGACACGAATTTTAGCATTTAAACAGGCTAGTTCCGAAAATTTGGTCTATTTGTTTCAATATTGTATCATTCATGAAGTTGGGTGTGGGTGTAGGTGTGAGTGGGCGTGAATCTTCTCATCTACACCCCTTTTAATCCACACTCACATCCACACCCCACACGCACAGCCGCACCCACACTCTCACACTCACACTCACAGCCATACCCTCACCCACATCCTCCGAAATCAGCTCTTAAATCACGACACTAATTTGCAGATATCTCAATTCAAGAAACAGTATCAAAAGTCGTTTGGATAAAATTTACATTGTAGGTTTATTATGTGCTATTTCTGCCTAGTAGTGACGAGAAAAAGTGATAAGCGCGATTGATTCTCATCATTCGAACGCAGAACAAGTGAGAACAAACGAAACTCGAAACACAAAATGTTTAGATTTGGTACATACCTATCTCACGTTGATTGATTATCGTCTCAAGTTGTTCGTATCGTTCTTGGAGACGCTCGTTCTTAGTGATAAGCTCGACAAGCATAGGTCGAACTTGTTCATACGGACAGGAAACAATGTGTTGCTTCAGTTCGTCAGCTGATCCCGTCCATGTACACTTAATATCAGAAGCTGAACAAGTAACGATCGCTTTCGAGCACAGCTTTTTGTTATGCTCATCGAAAGTGTCTCGCTGAATACTCATATGTCCACAATTATTACATTTGACAAGTATATGGTCTAGCATCTTTTGCAGAGCTGAATCCGCGGCTGTCAAATCATTGATTGACAATTTTTTGTGTTGCATTTTTTGCACACTCTTGAATGACTCTCGAGATTGGGCTCCATGCATGTGGGGACAGAATGTTTGATTACACGAAGTCAATACTACTGGATCGATAAGTGGACGTTTGCAACATTTACATATGAGTTCTTCATCAATGGACGGCTCATTCATATATGTGTAATTGCTGGTTGCCATTCGTCTATCTAGTATGTAAGAACATTAAGATCGTATCTTTTTAAATGTTATTTGGTTTTCAGATCAAAAAAGACTTATTAATAGCTGTCAAATCGATCTCTAAAAAAACTCATTGACTTGAACTCATTATTGTACAACGAATTTCGTGCATGTTTTTTGCGAAAAAATTAGAATCTGCTAAATTCAACTCTATTTATATATGTCTGAACTTCTAAGGATAGGTTTTTTGCTAAACGAGCGATAGAAGAATAATGGCAAATCAGTACACAATGTCTTTGAATATATAAGAGTTAGTCAAGAAGAAAAGCTCACTCTGAGATTGTTATGATTGCTATGTAAATTCGAAACTTCTAAAGCATGGCAATGAAGAACGCAAACACTTATCTAGAACCAACAGAAGACTGAAAGTAGCTTTTTCTGTTCACATTCATTACGTAGAAGACGGCAGAATAAGGACAATTTCACTCCGTTGCAATAAAACACATGCAACACCTTTAGCGAAAAAGGAGTATGTATGTATACACAAATGCATATAAGGTTCTTCATATTTATGCAAAAGAAGAAAGAAGAAAATGAGTAGTCGTACAACGTCTCGATGGTGATTAAATAGAGATTACTACCATTTTATATGTTCCTAACGTACAAGTTCAAAAGACGTAGCAGAGACGATTCAGGTCGAGCGAACTGAACAAGATAATTGACGATCAAGTTCATGTTGTTTCTCGTCTTCATATTCATCGAACATGATTCCAGATTCGAACTACTAATCCAACTGTTTGTATTTCTTGAAAAGTGATGGTTTAGGCTTGAGATCAGTTATGATTGTACCATCTATTGCAGACATGTATGGAGATATAAAATGACTCAAATTGTTTATCGGCCACGATAGTTTTCTTACCGAAGAAATATTCTTCCGTACATCTATCTATTAAATGTCTCTTGAAATTACCATCGGTCGTGTATATTCGAATGGAAGGAGATTTTAAATTATCGAAATTTATTGATATACTTAGTCATGCATCACACGTTGATTCGATTGGATATTCAGGTTGAATTTCGAAGAAATAGTAAATGTTGACTGTATTTTATCTATTCACAGTCGGAAACTTTGAATAGAATCACGTGAAATTCTATCTGAAGATTTTTTTTCTTTGTACTCAATATACTTCAACATATCCTGATAATTACTTGTTAATTCGAAACATCATCTATTGACAATTTCATCAATGTTGATGTTAATGAATGGATTTGATCAGATACAAAACATGTGAATTTGGTTGCTACTATGGATGTAAGTTAATCGTATTCGATAATATCTGTATGGTTTAAAGGTCGATAAGAGACTAAACTAATTGTTTATAATTATTAAAAAAAGTACACGAAAATATACGTATACTTTATCAAAATATCTATATTTTTAAAGCTCAAAGATTGACCAATGAATGATATGTTTCTATTTGTTTATGAAAACTTTTAATACAAAATATCTCATGTTCATTTAACTATTTATTTGCTGTGTCAATATGTTACACAAAAATCTCTGAATATAGTCGTTTGAACACAGAATGCATTGTTAAAGATCGTTACAGATCTTCATAATACAAATAGGATAGATTTCTGTGAAGAGTGATCGTTTTCAATGATAATAATACGATTCGATTCAGTTAGACAGATCTTATCTAATGATTTGTTTTACATAAATAAAACAAAATCTGATTGAAATGTTATTTGTTTGATTTATTTTTATCATATGTGGACTTTTATCATATTGATAGTCACAGTCACATCCAGAAATAATCCTTCGACGATTATAATATATTTTGTAATATGATTGTTACTTAATAAATCGATCATGTAATTCCATGAGAAGTTTTTTTTTGCTAATGCTCTATGTTAATGGAACAACATATTTACTTATGAGTCTGTAAAATTTTTATTCGAAACTTTGGTGAAACTATAATGCATCAGATAAATATTATTATTTATTTATTCGATTAAATATGCACAATTATAAGAAAAAAGAAATATAGTTACGATTGACCATATTGATTTGAAAACAATATGATTCTCTTTCATCTTCATACTCATTCTCTGCCCTATTTGTCTTCCATCGAGTTGGAAGAATTAGTCGACATCGCATTATACTTAGGATATGCATGCTTTGGTATGTTCGAACTGTCTGTGTTGCTCTCATTTCTAAGCTTTGGAGGCAAACAGCTACATATTGGGTAGTTAAGCTTAGGACTTTCAAAGCCTGCCCTTGGATATAGATATTCAAGCTCACTATTGTCAATGGAAGTGGTCGACAGTGAGCCTTGAAGTTTATTTCGAACTCCGAATTTCGGCTTAGCTGTGACATGGGTTGCAATTTGAAGTTGATGCATTTTATCTTTTATGTTTGCACTATTGTTTCTTGTCAGAGCGATGTCCTGATGATCAGGTGGAAGTAATTTTTGTTTCATATTTAATGATTCTTGATAATATTCAAATGCACGATCGAGATCATTCATTTTTTGATATACAACTGCAATATTGTTCCATGTCATAGCAGTATCAATATGATACAATGGCAAGGATCGTTGTTGAATTTTTAATACATTTTTATAATATTGTAATGCATGTCGATATTCTCCAATGTCTGTATATATATTACCAATATTCGTAAGTGTTTTTGTTGTTTTTAAATGTTCTTTTCCATAATATATTTCAAATATTTCTACGGCTTTCAAATACAATTTAAGTGCATGATTATACTGACCTTTTTGATGATAGACAAGGCCTATATTTGTTAATGGTCTTGCTGAATCATTTAATCGCATTCGTCTAACATTGATCATTAAATCATAGGCACGTTCATAATATTCAAGCGCTTTTTCAAGATTACCTTTACTATGATATGCAGATCCAATTAGATTATTAATTCTTGCGATATCTTGATTTTGTGCAGGATCATTTAACAACAAACTTTGAAAATACTTTAATGATTGATCATATTGTCCCATATCAATTAGTAATTTACCAAATATCAATTCAATACTAATTTCTTCTTCCTCTTTTCTATTGAGTTCGATATATTTTTTAGCTATTTTTGATCCTTTATCACTAGCTTTCAGTTTAATTAACCATAGATTTAAATGTACATCTTCATTGATAGAAACTATTTCAAATGTTGATCCAAGATCGAATAGAACTTCTAATTCATCTGCATAATCACTAAATTGTGCAACATCAGCATAAATAATTGATTCTATTTTTTGAATGTTACATTCAATCTCATATAGAACTGGAAAAACATTTGTACGTGTAGTCGATTTTGTAGCAAATTTAATTGCAAGTTGTTTTGAACGACTTGTTGATAGAAAACCATTTGTTGAAATTAAATTATCTTCATTTTGTTTCAGATTTTTGAGTTCTTCTTCTTCGATTTTTTGTCCACGATAAAGCATAACGATCTTCTCACCTTTATCTTTCAACTTTTGATATTCAATAGCAAGATTAAATGATAGATCAGTAATAAAAAATCGAAACATATGTAGTTGTTCAATATCTTCAGTTCTCAATGCTTTATTTACAATTTTATATAGGAATGTCTCTTTCATATACCATTTAATAGCTACATTTGATTGATAGTTCATTTTAAACTCATCAATAAATTTTAATTCTTTTTGATTTCCACGATAATAATGTTGACAAAATTCAATCATTTGTTGTTTTGCACGACTATCTTTGGGTAGTCGTAAAATGACATCTTTAAACATTTGAAACCATAGAAATTCAGATGATTCTTTCGATAAATCTCTTGTGGATTTTTCTTTATGTTGATTATAAAAATTGAATGTCTGTAAGTGTTTTTCGACGAGAATAATATTTTCTTTAAGAGAATTTATTAAGTCATGACGTTTGGAATAAATTCCAATAAGTTTGGTAAATTTTTGTAACAGATGTTGATATTTTTCAGGTTTAAAACAAAAAATAAATACTGAATCAACTTGTATCAATGAATTAACTTCTTTTAAAATGATTGTAGCATCTTGTCCCGATGTAATAAGAAATATTTTTTCATTCTTAATTGATTTAATATGATTAATACAAATTTGTAGATCAATATGAAACACGGCACAATTATTGATTTCTCGTAATACATTCATCGTCTCTTTCGTATCATTAGTTTTATCGATATTCGAATCATACCAAATTAGTATAATACTTTCCAGATTTTGTTGTGGATCCAAGATTTTGGTTGTCATTGATAATGGTATGGATGCTGGGGAATGTGAAGGTTTCTCCGCCGGACTGGTAAGGGCATGATAAAACTTAGATTTATCGACGACTGTAATCTTGTTAAAATATATTTATCCACATTGGTGTTTTTGACAGCTTGTTGTTTGTAATGATTTTAAAAAAAAAAGAGAAATGTATCATATATATTGAAGTGCGAGATAAGCATACATAATTCAGATCAAATTTTAATTCTATTTTTCTTTAAACTATTCCATTTTTATATTATGCTGCTGTAAGAGGTCCTTTATTCGTTTCTACCATATACTCACTCTAACGCAAATGCCAAGTAACCAAGAGCAACTGATAACGAAAGAGAAAAAAAAGACATTAAGAAACAGTGAGAGTCCGACAGAAAGAAAACAGACGCAAATAGTGGAAGCGATGTAAAGGCGTGTGAGTAACATGCCTACAACAGCTCTATCCGCTAAATGATCTTATAATTACTTTATCTGTTGTTTTCTTCTTATAGGAAATAAAGAAAGTCTTATGTACATTAAGTTTACTATTTATTCTTGATATTGAAAAAATGACTTTGCCACTTTATATTTGAATGTATATCGTTAGATTTATATAATGGCAGCAATAAATATTCGATCATCGATAGATGATATTTTCGTTGAAAAATTAATTAGATGTCTTAGCTCATGTAAATGTCAAAGTTGACTCTGAAATTCAGTTGCCTTTAAAAGACAACCAGTTGATTCTAAAATTTGAAAGTCAACTAGATCGAAGGGTGTTGACTCTTAAATTCTGAAGTCAACTAGTTTAGATTAAAATGTCGAAATATAGAATTTACAGCTACCAAGTATCTACTGCTTTTTTATCAAAGCAATCAAGATTAGTAGTGTAGAAGCAAAACTCTATACAGAGATAAACAGCATTTAATAACAAAGAACTAGTAAATCGACAAAATGCGAGAGAAACAGTCACCTAACAGTTATTACATTTTGACTCTTTACTCCCGTGATATTTCGTGCAACATTTTCGATTATTTTTCTTACACTGACACCGATTTGTGTTGCAATTACCAATGCATTTACTTGATTTGAAATTTGTAGAAATCTGACTTGCTTGCGAAGGTGAAGGTGTCTATCTTTTGGCGCCCAGCTCTTCGAGAAAAGCGTCTAGCTTTGAGTAGAGAGAAGAAAGAACGACATGCACATTGATAGAGAATTGAAGTCTGTAAGCAAAATTCTGTTTCGTCAGACCAATATTTAAAAGTGTAACGCTTGCCGCATTATACTTCTCAGTATCGTACAGTATTCATCATGTTGAGATATGCCCAACTAGTAACGTTTAGTATATCTACTCTGAAACTCTAATAAAAGGCTCTCAAAGTGGCAGAAAAAAAATTGATCCTCTCAGGTGTCATAGAAATCATCAACTTGATGCTGGTTCTAAGCTTTTATATTTCGTGACACAGGCAAACTCTTGAAAAGACAAAAAAGCGTCTGTAGAAATAAATCCGCTTACACTCCAAAGAAATTTTTAGTTGTAACATTCGCATTACAAATGTTTCTCACTCGATACATTTTTGTTTGATCCATATATGAAAAGATGCAGTTTTTGACGGTCTTTCAGATTATGTTATTATTTTCATAGACTGATATGATCTTGATTCTTTTTAGTTCACAGATCTCGAAAAATATATATGGGGAATTAGCAATGGAGTGAGCATTTTTTATTGGATGCAATTGGCCACAATGTCAACGTTATTGAAAGTAGAGTTCACACTTTTCGTCGTGTCATCGTCTGTCTTCAATGTTTCTCGAGGATAGAGAAACATCCTATTGTAGTCTTCGTACTTTTGTTCAATTGCGTTATGCGTAAGTCCAAATTCTTCTAACGTATAGGTGTGGCGTCCTTGCTTGCCTTGAGGGTTGTTGCGAAGCCACGTAAGCATGGCTTGCTGAAACTCTTCGGACCACGTGAGTCCAAAATAATCATAGATGCTACGAACAGTATCAATTGGCTTTGTGATGAGATCGTCATAGAGTACGTCGAAAACGGGAACATGCGGATTAGTACGACGAAATTTCACAATACGATTAATATGAACATCCGTTGCACGTAATCGACGTTCCACGACCATTTGCCTGTCGATTACCGCATCATACCTGCTGCTATCGAAATAGATGCTACCGAATGCCAGTCCCAAGCGAATTGAGGAAGGCAGCACATCATGTAGTTGGCGGTGGGTCATGATGAGCGAGACAGAGGGATAGTGTCGTAACAATGTGTCAAGATTGAATATATGATATGGAGTTTTCAAGAGCCAATGTGACTGAGGTGCATCAACACTATTTAACATCTGCATAAATGTTTTGTGATACTGGTAGACGAAGTCCTTGTTCGTATCGTCGTAAAACCAAGTTGCAAGTTCGGTACTGTCATGAGGTTCTAGATGAGGCACTAAGAGACCACTTTGATAGAGGATGTTCACATCTTCCTCGTATGCGTAGCAAGGGTGACAGGCGTTTCGTTCTCGTTCGTAATCCACCAGTACGCGATCTTCCAATTTTTCAGTGAACGTGCGTGCAATGACGTTGCGTCGCGCCTGTGCAGCGGTATCAGAGCGAGCAAGTGGTGGGACTGGATGTGTCATGTCCAATAACGACGGAGCTCGACATGCAGGATCACATGCAAGCAAATTATAGAGAAGTGTAGTGCCAGTACGAGCCGTACCACACAGAACAAATAATGGGGGCATGGGATGTGCTGTCGCTCGCAGTTCTGGATGAGTGGTAACGTAGTTGAGAACGTCCTTGCAATTCTTGTAGTTCTGTTCTACTGACGTGCAAAATAGGTGTCGACCGATCGGTGTCAGTCGATCATTGGCAAGTACGATACGAGCATTCAGTTGAAATGCACGCAAGATATCAGTATGGAAACCGAATTGTGCTTTGGCTTCTTCACTAAGATCATCGTCGCATAGAGTCACATGCGTGCGAAACACTGGATGTGGCACAGTGGTTTTTGCATGCTCAGCGGATATATCACAGTGAGTTTCTTCTTCCATGTTCTTATAGTAGATATTTGTGTGAAACACAGCGTTTTATTCTATCCTTTGTCTCTCTATCTACAAAAGGCTCGGCAGAATGGATCCGTAATTATGTTTAGGCCATGCTTCTTAAACGAGAATAAGTAATTGCGTTGGGGTACTCGAATCGAGTCTGAAACACTTTATACACAGCAGGTCTTCGAGTCGGCTGAAATATAAAGTGTTCCATAAGTCTCGGAGAATAAAATCTTGAATAGCTCTTGAAGAGTTAAAGCGATTTATATAAATTCTCTCTAATTTTATTTGATATTCCCTTAACCAGCTACGATTGTAAAATGAAAGTGAACCCGCTGATATTGTACAATCCAGACAGTCCAATGGACTGAAATGATGTTAAACGCACAAGAGGAAGACTCTCATATTTGGCAACTGAGATTGTAAGTAAAAAATGGACACTCTTTCTACTTCTTGTGCGTTTACACACACTTTAGACAGTTTGCGATTTCATAGACAGATCGGTCGCATTCTGAATGTTCTACAATAATGACAGAAGATGAAACAGCATCGGTATTATCAGTTTTCTGACTGTTTGGAAAGTTTGTTCAGCAGAGGAATACATTAAAGCCGATGTCTTCAAGAGAGTCTGCTAAGATTAGATTAAAATAACAATAAGAATCGATAATAAAAATAATTTGACTTGAAAGAATCTTTATCCAGCGTCTTTTTTCAAATCTTTGAAACCATTCATGAATATCGTTTGAAGTATTCGAGAGGTATTCAATTCTTTTCTTCTCGAGGACTTTTGAAAAACTGCACGAAAGTAGTTTGCTTATAATAAAAAAGCTTTTGGAAATATTTCACAGATTTTTTTTGTACATTCTGCAGAAAATTACTCACAGTATACCATTAGTCTATTTTATTGAGTAACACCAAGAGGGATTGATGGCAGCAATGAGTGCCTCCCGTTTTACCTTGCTGTAGCAAAGTAGTCGTTCTCGTTTCTTATCTCTATCCTCTGCAGAAAAATGTGGTGATAAACTAACGCACGGCAGTTGCAACATGATACATCATTACACTGATAAACGCAAGTTTTTCTTGCAGTTTCTTTTCACGCGTGCAAGAGTCATGATAACTCTTTTTCACTAACAACTTGCATTGCAATAATCTATGTATGCAAACAGATAAAAGTTTAAATGATGTTTTAGCGCGTTTGAATCGAAAAATGAAAAAATGCATTAGAAATCTTCCATATGACGAATCAAAAGATTGAACTTGTTAAAAAATGTTTTTTTTTCTCATATCAACAGGTTTAAATGCATTTACAGGACCAAAAGTGATGATTTGATACATATTATTCCATTTGTATATATCTATTAGAATCAAGAAAAGATTCATCATTCAAACTCGTTTTTTATTTTTTTTCGGTAACGATGCACTGTAATCAGTTCTGATATACTGTTGTAACGTCACTGACATAAAAGTATTAGAAATCTTGTTAAAAGAGAATGACTCGATATTTTTGTATACTAGATCACATGTAAGGAAATTGAAAAAACCATTGATTTCGTAAGGAGGTAGATTTAAATCTATTCTATATATAATATAAGTAGTCAAGTACCAGAAAATCAGTTTTTTTACTAGAAGAATAATTATTTTAATAGCAAAACCTTGTTTCTGACTAAAAAAACCTGGCTTTTCAGTGCTAAAACCTCGAAAATTTATCATCTATTACGTCTTTTGAAACTTTTCTTGTGGATTACCTTCTATTATAAGGAATTGTAGCAAGCTTTTGAATCTAAGATGTATAATAAATAGCTTTGATTGACTACTGATGTGATGTTCCATAAAGTACATTTGGGTATCAGTCAATAAGATCATTTATCGACAAAGTGTCTGCTGTGGCGTTGGGCGAGAATGACCTAAGATACGACATGTTGAATTTTTTTGTCAAATTGAAATAAAAAGAAACAGGCTAATCGAAGTAACCATGAAAATCGAAAGACATTACTTTTTTGCAATTATTATTGAATAGCGCATTTTCTAAAAATATTAGTCATCCTCTTTCAACAATCGGGTTCTACTTCCACGCTCAAATAATGAGAAAATATTCAAAACTAGGGCACCATATATTGAAAAACAGCTTTTTTAAATAAACGATTTTCTCAATTAACTTTAGAAAAAGTTAATAAAAAACTTGTCTCATATGATTTTGCATATAATAAATAGAAGGAACACTTTTCACTAGATACTATCCATTCTTGCAAGTGGTTGCGTGAACCAATAGAATCGATAGTTTTTGTTTTGCTGTTACGAGAAGATAAATAGCAACATCAATAACTATTCAATCCATTTACAATGTTCGTATTGATTATTAAGCAAATAAATTCATAAAAAAATCCTACCGAACTATTCTATCATACACGTTGCAATAATCTTTTTCTTTTCTTCCTTCTCTGCTCAGATTTATTTGTTGCCTGTATAGATCTTCTCAATGAGAGATAAGTTAATTAACTCAGAAAATTTGATTTTGATGGTAAAAATCAATGAAAGTTTACATACTTTCTTTTGCTCATTTTCGGTTAAGTGTAGGTGTGGGTAGAGTGAAGAGCCACACTTACACCCACACGCACTCGCACCACGATAGCCCACACACTGCACCATCAAAATAGTGGATGTTCTCTTGCAAAGAGATATAGTGTAAGCATACTTTGTGTAATAGAAATGATATACAGATAGAAAAGAAAAAAAAATATCGCCTATAAAATGTTTTCTCCTTGTTGTCTGTTTCATGAGAGAACAAGCAGATGGAAGATATAGAGAACAAGTATCATTACAGCATCGTAAGTCAACATACTCACACATTTCATTTTTGAAAAAAGAAATCCAAAGTTTTTTGGCAACAGCTCTCATTGATTTAATTCTTCTAAGTGATATTGAAAAGGTAAGCTACAAACATTGAAATATGCTGCTTGTTATAATACCATTCGAGATAACTATTCGAACTTATGGAAGAAAAAAAAGCAACCTCTAAATAGTAGTATCATTCTCTAGGTTCGTTATGCAACGTGTAGAAGGTAGCAGAAAGGTTATCCTAATGTTTTTTGATTGATACGTTTAAATTGTGAAATTAGTTCAAACAACTATATGATCGAAAACCCTTTACTATTCTAAGAAGCATAGCCGACAATCATGTGTTTCTTTTGGTATGAGTCATTTTAAACTACTAATAAGTAAGATGCATGAAACATAAGAAACAAGTCTCGACGATGTCTTCGTAGTTCAAAAAAAATTATGCTCAATCATTATTATTGACTCAGAACAGATTTTGAATGTCACTTTAAGAGAAAATTATATGAATAGACACAGACATATATGAAATAAAAATGAATTTTTTTTTTTCATTTTCGTATCTTTTTTAAAGTTATTGTTCCTCTTAAGAAAACTATGTGAGTTTGTTTGTACACCGTTTAGAAATTTGATTAGATTGTTTTTTTTTGAGTTCGGTTCTGACCTAGGACGAGTGTGGGTGATAATATTATCTACATTAACATCCACAGCCCTCTTAGACAGTCAAACAATCAATCGGCTTGTTTCATCTACAACAAAATGCCATGACACGTGCTTTAAAACTAAACAGTGAAAAACTTGTTACGATATCTTTTGTTCTTTGAGAGTAATAAAAAGAACTTAAAATAGGGAGTTACTTTTCAGACAGCCTGTATATTCTATGACTAGCTTGTAAGAGAAGGACTACAACTCAACCCAATTGGCTTTGCTAAAAATTGTACTAAGAGCCAAAAAGGAAACAAAATTCTACTGATGATTGAAAGTAAAATTCTGCTTCAATCAAAGGAAATTACAGACATATCTTTGAAATTAAAGTTAGTTCAGTAAAATATTAAATATTATTATTCTGTACAAGAAAATCGTTATTATTCGTATGTGAACATGTGACATCAACTCTTAGAAGTTTTCTTAGTCTTCAATCCGGTGTTACTGTATCGGCGGTAGTTCAAGTATATGTACAACATGAGCAATTTAATTCTCTTATAGAAATTATTTTGCATTCTTGTTTTTGAATGTCTCCGAATTATAAGTTTGTTCAAAAAATATTCGAACTATCATTATATACTTTGTTTTTCTTTTAAATGTCTAATCGGAGATGAATACTATTGTGGATCAGTATTGTGGTGAAATTGAAGAACAAGCAACAATCATTAGCATTGAACAATTCAAAACATCATTGGATACATTCGTTTCTGAAATAAAGAAGTCTAATAACTCTACTGTGGAAATTGCATTGATCAAACAAATTATTTCCTTATTAACTTACTTTTCATCGAAGAATAACCAGCTAATTGATCCTGAACTCATCACACATCCACTTTTCATCATTCTACGTGATTCTGTCCTGGTTGATTATCTTCGTCGAAGACAAAATCAACATATTGCATGCGAATTATTATGTGACCTGTCGATATTCTTTTTAAATATCAGTCTTCATATCAATAATACCAATGCTCATCTATTCAAGCAATTTCTTTTTCATCAACCTTTAATCGATGAACTTACTCATTGTCTCAACGAGATCGGTGACAATGGCAAATACTTAGATGATCCTCTTTTTCTGAATTCAATTCATTGTCTACTAATGACATATCAATATTTTAATAAATTACAAAGTATAATAAATGAATATTCATCGACTACATCATTGGTTTTTGCTGTTATTAAATGTTTATGTTCTTCATATTCTATTGAAATAATAAAAAAATTCGAACATAATTTTTCCCAAAAACTCAATTATGGTCACATACTTATCCTTATTACATGCCCATTATATCTCAAATGGTATCCATCTTATTATGACGCGGAACTTTTTCGTCAAATACCACGAATATTATTAAGTCCATTTGCTCAATGGCTGATAAGTTGTCATTCGAATTCAATTATTCATTGTTCTAAGGATTTTGAAAATATCCTACGTCGTTTAAATAGTGCTGTTGTTCGTCTTATCGAATGGGAAAATGTCAATATTTCAAATCAAGAATTTTATAATGATTATTGCAGATTAGTTTCTAAATGGTCATCATTGTTATCAGTGATACTTAAGTATTCATCGGATGATTCGAATACTATATCAATAAAAAAAATTATCGTTCATAATTTGTACGATTTTACATTACATACAAATGTACTAGATTTTATGAAAACTATACCAAATTTAATTCCAATGCTACTTCAAATGACCGATGTTGAAGAAGATGCAACACAATTGCATACTTATCGTTGTTTGGGTAAATTGATGAGTGAAATAGATATTAAAACTATGGCAAATCCGAGTAAGATTACGAGTGTCTATATTAAGTATCTTTTGAATACAATTGATGATCCAAAGACAAAAGAACGATTTTATAGTATATTACAGAGTTTGAAAAGTAAGTTATATTTTGTTTTGTTTTTATTAATCTCTTCAGACGATTGATTGTCTTTAGATTTTGTTCAACATGATCAAGTCAAAGTTGAATTAATAAAACAAAATGCACTTCAATTACTTATACGATGTATAATTGAAATTGAATTTGATCCAATTAAAGTCAAACCAATAGTTCTCGAAATTCTTCTTGCACTTTCATTTAATAATGATGCTTTATCAACTTTAAGACAAAATATAAATTTTATGTTAACAATTCGAAATCTTGTCAATAGTACCAATTCGAATAAATCAAATTTACAACGAGCTGCTGAAGCTCTTCTTTGGAAATTAGAAAAAGAAGCTGAAGCTGTTGCTAAATTAACTAATTCAAAATCATATAAATACGATATTATGATAAGTTATTCACATAGTGACCGACAATTATGTTATCAAATTCATGAACGACTTATTCAAGATGGATTTAGCGTTTGGATCGATCGTGATAATATGTATGGAACTACAATGATGGCTATGGCAGAAGCTATTGAAAATTCTGAATTTATTCTCATATATATGTCAGATACATATAAACAAAGTGTCTATTGTCAATCGGAAGCACATTATGCATTTGAACGACGCTGCCATTTGATACCACTTATTATGAAACCTTGTTATAAGCCTGATGGATGGCTCGGTATTATGGTAAGCGGTAGAATTAGGGTAGATTTTACCAAGATTGAATTTACATTGGCCTATAAGAAATTGAAAAAAGAAATAAATCAACATTGTCAACTGAATATGAATTATTCGATGGTAAAATCTAAAGAAAGAAATTATCCAGATATTTCTTCTACGATGTCGAAATCTATTCAAGAGGCTTCGATATTGATTGATAGATTTCAGATCGTGTAAGTTTTGTTTTACAACTCATAACTGAAAAATTTATAGGATAGAAAGATGTTTCTAATAGTGATGACATTGAAAATGAAGTATTTCAAAATGGACGCAAGAGGTACGAAGATATTATTCAAATAGTATTGTTCTTGGAACATGAGCAGCGTTCATATTTACAGAAAAAGTTTTTTGATCGGTTTTAAGATCATAGAAATAATTGTCGATTATAACTAAATGAGACTGAAATAAAGCTATCAATAACAACAGTTAAATATCCCTGTTTGTATTTCCTCATTCTATATTATTTCTTTATGTAGTGAATTACCTGATTGCATTACTCAATGGACTAATAAACATGTTCAATCATTTTTTCTAACAAACGGACTTGATAATACTATGCTTCTTCTATGTTTACGACTGGATGGTCATCGACTTTTACAGTTCTATGAAATTTGTATGATCAATCGTGAATCAATGTATCAATCATTGAAAAGTGAATTAGCCAATGTACATCAGAAAACGTTAACAATTAGTGATTATGTTACTTTTCTTCATGAAATTCAACGTTATATTCCATTAACACGTACCATTTCTCAACCTGCATCATTATCTTTACCTTCTTCTACAGTTTGATAATTTATGTAACTTAATTGTCATCTGTTTTAAATGAGAATAAACGATGCATATGATAAAAGACTCGTCTCGATATCATCGATGAATTTCTATTAAAAATATTCATTACTCTTATAGTCCGATATTCAACGAGTGTACACAAAAGTACCAAGATTGATCTATAGACTTTAGGGAGTGGGTGTATGGATGGATGTAAGTGTGCGTGTGGGTGTGAATGTAGAGATTCACAAAACTCAAACCACACTCACACTCCATCCACCTACACCCACACGCCCCTCCCTCCACCATCCACACCCTATCTAAATGCCTTCCACTTTTAGTGTTTCTATTTCATTCTTCACAAATCAACATAAGTTATGGGCAACACATAACGCAATGAAATCAATACTCAGCTGATTCTTCTGCCACTGCAATGTTTATGAAGTGTGTAAGTTAGAACAAACAATCTAATAATAGGATCCTCTTTTTTCGAGAGTTCTGAGACATGTACTATGACAAAAATTTAAAGTCTTCAGGCCAGACAGATCTTAAACAGTATAGTAAAAGTTCTTCTTGATCAAAAATTGCACACTTTTGTCTTCTACAAGATATTGGAACCAAACGGTGTAAAAATAGCTCTTTTTCTAATCCTTTTCCCCGAACATAATAGGTTCGATCAAACGAGAATTTGTGTATCACATAATAGGTCTTAACAGGGTAGCTTGTTTCTTTTTATATTGCTTGATTCAAATAGGAAAGCTAAACTACTTAGAATACCCTAAAAAGCGCACATTTTTTGACTATAGACGATTTTGTGAAGAATTCGTAGAAAAAGGTAAAGGCCAGAGTTCCTTCGATAAGGTTGTTTTTCAGTAAAACAAGAAAGTATACACAATTTTCCAGTCTTTTAATGTGTATAATCTTATGACTTATCTGCCTTTCTTTTTAGATATCAAAAATGGAGTTTGAATTTCTAAAAAAAGGCTCACTAGGTTAGGAGATATTTTAAGCTATATGATACTAAAATCACAAATGAACGGAGAATTGCAAGTTGATCAGTTTGGAAAGATAAATCTCCTAAAACTGAGTTAAGCTAATTATCATCTCTTTCAGAATTTCATCTTGATAGACAGATTAACTTAACTTTTACTCATGTTTTCTATAAACTGTATTCTTCTACTTCATATCAATTTGCAAATCAGTCCAATGTGATAAATGGTTAGGTTCTAATGCTTATTCCATTAGATCAACTTTCTAGAAACATCTTTTCAATATCTACCAACCAAAGACATTACTTTTTTTGAACTTCAAGGTAAATGATAAAGTGATTCTCTTGTAACTTTCTCTACACTCTTGCCAACTTCAACTATACGACTAAACTCGTGCCATCAGGTTACCTAAATTGCTTCAAAAAAGAATTCTACTATATGATTGAAAAATAACAAAAATAATGAGTTTAAATAGACTAAAGTCTAATACATCTCATTATCATCAGACTAACCCTACCTCGCTTTTAACTATTCATTCAAAACGGTATGAAGATTCAGTTACAGTACGTGAAACATTAGGATAATTTTATTCTTAGAGTAACGCAGTTTTCTACTCTAACTTATTCTAATATTTTATTCGAAAATTTTTGTTACAAGTGGCACAATCGACATGATTTATATATTAATTATTTGAAACTCAATGATTCTTACTTTGAAAAAATATTACAAACTAACGTGATATTATCCTTGAATTCAATGTTTGTTCATAACTTCTCGTCAGTATGGCGAGTTTTAGCTAGTTATGAAAATTATCTTTCCTCTACACTTATCATATCAAAATAGTGTATCTATCAGAGACGTGCATCGCGCTTTAATAATATCAACTGTTAAACTTTATTGCAAAAAATTTTTAAAACAGATACACATCCAACGATAAAAGTTAAGAGAAAAGATTTAATCGTTAACAGACTCATTTATTCTAAGATATCATTTGTTTTATGACTTCATTTCATACTCAATTATTGAATTTAAAATTGAAATCTAGATCAATGCTCACTACACATAATTCTGATAACAAATCAATCTAATCTAGTTAAATTAAGATGGAATGAATACACTATAAGTATAAATGTGGTGATGCTCAAATATGATCATACATTTAACAGATCTCTTCATTTTTCCAATACTTTAAGCAAATTTCAAGATATTTGGATATAATTTCTGACGAAATGTACCCTATACTTAATAGTTTAGTTCGCTCAAGTATCAGTTCTTTCCTTTATGAACTTGTTGTGCTAAGCATAAGAATAAACATGATGTCCTCTTGTGTTATATACATTGGTCTTTGTATGAAGTGTACGTTCGTTTATGAACACCACTTTCAATATGATTAGGCTTTTCCTAATACAATATTATTGCATGATAACTTCAACTTTATGTTGCTCTTTACATATAAGTATTCAGAAATGAGACGTCATTCATAAGAGATATCATAAAGTAGCAAATATGAGGATAATATTGACGAAAAAAATTTTTTCTCAATTATTGTTAGGCGGCGCGGGAGCCGGACGATCGCTCATTGAAAAGATCTTTAGGACAGTGGCCGCCTCCATCTCTTTTTTTAGGTACAGTACAGATCTTGGGGTGGATGTGGGTGTGTGATTGTGGCTGTGGCAGTCAGTGTGCCCATACTTCATCTCGTCGCAGACTCGAACACCCAAACCCTTACATTGCCGCTTTATTGCAGAAAAATAAGTGCTACAAGTTTCTCTAAACGTGACATAACTGTATTTTCTAAAACAAATTTTAATTTTATATCTCAATAAAGAAATACTCTCACGAGATGATGTTTTTCAACTGATATTGCGCATGATAACTTATTCATCTCTTTCTTTCTGTTATTATTCAGTGAAGTCATATAGGTACTCCATCTATATCTGGAATTGTGCTTCACTCGTTTTTTTTTTGAACTATCATTATCATTCTAACGATTTATCATTTTGTTTATCGCTTATTTGTTTTCATTCCCTATATGCAAAAGTTTTTTATTAAATAAAAATATATTCTTTTATTGAGATGTAAAAGTTTATATTATAGAAAATATAGTCTTATCATATTTAGGGAGACTTGTTGTGCGTGTTTCTCTTCAGCAAACCGGTAACAGGATGAATCCGTTCAGGGCTTTTCTATACTATAAACTAAAATGGAGTGTATCAGCTGGCGAAGTTCTCTCATCAGATACAGAACAACAGTCGTCATTTCTTCTGCAATGAAAATTATAAATTTAAATATCGTTGGTTTCTTTTTTTCTATTGAGAGCAGTGTCTCTTTGACAACATAAACACGGTCGACTTCTTTGAGAACAGATGAAAAAGGATTGTCATATAGGAAAGGAAAAAACAGTTTGTCATCCTGAGATATTGTTTTTCTCTTACTTTCTATTTATATTAAGAATTATCATTTCTTGCCTCGCTGTTGCTCATACTGTTGAAATCATGGGCTGCGGTGCAAGTAATATTGATTCTGGACTTATTATTAAATTAACTAATCGATCGAGAGATGCATCAATTTTTTTATCTGGTGAACAGGTTGAATGTACTGTTCATTTTGATAGTAAATTGTATGATCCAGATGTGGAAATAAAAGAAGCTTATATTGAATCACTTGGCCAAGTTGGATATACAACGTCGTCTATTGTGACAGCGTACAATCACACCGGTAGCGCCCAAACAATAACATATACAGATCATAGAATACCATTTTTTTGTGAACACTACAAATATTATTCTGAATCTGCATCGGTAAGAAGTATATACATTATTAAGGAAATATGAACAAAATTTCATGTCTTAGCGATACGATAGTTAGATACCACAATTATCGTAGTATTGATTGTGTTAATCGATTTTTAGGAAAAATCAATGACATTTTCCCAGTTTGCGATGGCTAATAAATAGACATACAAATTTACTCTTCCTGATGAGTTACCTTCTTCTCTTCCTCCGGTAGGTTATCGCAGTTCACATCCATACATTGAATATTTTATACGTATGGTACTTGAATTAAAAAACTGGTATCAAAATGATATTCGTAACTCTATTCCACTCATTATCTATCCTCGTATTAACTTACAAAATGAATTGCAATGCCCCATCGAAATTGAAAAAACAAATCGTAAACATATTCATATCCGTATAAACATTGCCCAAAGTGTCATTTTCCCTGGAATTCCTTTTATTATCCATTACAATCTTGAGAATCCGAATCGATCGACTGTTCAAGCAATCATTGTCCAACTTTGCCAAAATCGTGATATGGGCACATGCGGACATTATAACACGCTTATCTTTGATACGGACATGTTTGATGGAAATGATTTTAAAGGAGAACATTTACATAATAAGTTCGAATTGACATTACCAACTCATTATCTTGCGCCAACATCATCCTATAAATTTGGTCTCATAAGTGGTTTGACACAATGTAATCCAGCATCGGTCACCTATGAACTCATCATAGATGTAAAAGTCAGTGGACTTTTCAACGATTTTACGTTGAAATGTCCTATCATCATGGGAGTAGAATTGAATGATGAAAGACCACCCTCTTATGCCTCAGCAATGAGCCTTCGTTAAACAAAATCAAACAAGTCAATCTATTGTTAGTTAGAAGATAAATCTCATTTACATACAAAAAAAGAGTTAAGAATAAATGAAACACACTACAAAGAATTCCATATAGATAATTTAGGTGTCACCAGTCAATATCACACACATTAGATAAACCTGATGTGAAACTATGATTGATACAATCCAAACAGCTGTTTTCGCCACATGTGAAGGTGTTAATTGGTGGGCTGAGGGGTGGTGGAGAAGAATAGATATCTGATACCTTCACGTACACATCTATCTATCCACCTGCAATATATTATGAATGCTAACTATAAGATAAACCATTCATCGAACACCTCACTACCACCCACACTCTTGAACTCGATCAAACCATATAAAGATATCCAAGAGAAAGATTTTAGTTGATTTTTGAATATTGTGCGCCTTACATATGATCAAATGCTTCTAATGTCTTCTTTTGATCACTAGAACTATATCGCATTAACTACTGTTGTTCGAGAATTATTTAAAATAACTTCAAATTTGAAATCAAATGTAAAGACACAATGTCCATGAGCGTAAAATCAAACTAGATCAGTCCATGTGTAGATTTGAAGATAACGTCAATTGATACTTTAAGAATGTCAACAAGGAAAATAAGCTCCTCTTCGCTAATTGTAAACGGTGGAGCAATAAGTAGATGATCTCCGCGGGTAGCATCAGCTGTATCCTTCGAGTATAGACAAATGACAACTGTAAAGAAAAAAAAATGATCATCAAGAATTAGAATGGAAAAACACGTACGTCCACGCTCCAGACACTCTTTGAAAATGAAGTCAATGAATGAGCAACTGGATGATACATCTCTTTTGGGTGTGGGTGAAGAGAAGATCCACACGTACACCCTCACCCACACCCGAAATTTGATTGTCTCTGAGGGTCTTCAGTTATTGAACTGGATCTATAAAAGAGTAAGGAGGTCGTGAAAGCTGGATCCTTTTGGATAGGGATAGAGATCAAGGATTTCTGGACGTTCAGGGATTAAACAGATATGTTTTCTTTTATGGAACTCAGATATATTTTTGGAAGAAAATAGTGAGTGTAAGTTTTAAGTCGCAGTTTTGCTGCTTCCCCCATTACGAACAGCCCCATTACAGACCATAGCAACCACTCCACACCCCATTAGAGCCTGTAGTTAGCTCGCTTCCTCCTTTACAGACCATAGCAGCCACTTCACCCTGCATTACAGACCATAGTTACTCCTCCCCCGCATCACAGACAGACCCCTATTGCAGACTATGACAACTAGTGTCAAATGTGCTAAGGTATCCTAGCTTATATAGAATATATGAGTTCCACATTGCAGCCCCAGAGGGATTGCGCTGAAAAGCTTTTTTCGCAATTTTCCGCAAAATTTTGAGTCTCATTTTATTTTGAAAAGCAGTTTTTGAATGAACCAGTTGAATACAAATATGCCGTAGAACTAATTGAAATTTGCATTACGTGGGCAGTTAGTTATACATGGACGCTGTTGTATTTTCGAGTATCCTTGGTATTGAACTTTTCTCTTTCTTATATTTCTACTGTTTTTTTGCTAATGGGAATTCAATG